CCCCCCCCCCCCCCCCCCCCCCCCCCCCCCCCCCCCCCCCCGCCTCCACTCCCCACAGACTCTGCTGCTCTCATTTCTCACTGCCACCCTCTGTGCTATTGTCTCTTATGCCTTCTCCCGAGTAAGCCCGTTTTTATTTCTTCATTTCACTCATCTTTTTAAATTCCAGAATCCATTTCTTTTGTCCCCAGGCACAACGGGTGAAGGGTAGAGACCGTGTAGCAAATTAAATTTGGTCTCCCTCTTACGCTCCCCTTGGACGTGGGCATGATGGAACAGTCGAAGGAGAACAGGAGCAAAGAAATCTGGAGGAAAAAGCCCATTTCCCATGCATTACTGTCTCTTTCCTCGGGGTCTATAGTGGAGTAACACCACAACACCTCTATTGCCTTTTTTTCCCTGTCTTTAATTTTCTTTTTCTTGCTCCCCTCCCCGTCTCGCTCTCGCTGCTGCTGCTGTTCCTTCTCACGCAGCCTAGCCTGAAGGTCTCTCTGCTCTTGCTACTACCGCTAACACAACCTGACCCAGTTTATTAGTTTGGGTCTAGTGAATCATTAATCGAGGTTATCTAACTGTTCCTGTAATGATTCCGCTGTGACTTGTGTGTGTCAGAGCCTCTCTGCGTACAGAACCGATCAAGCCTTGTGCTTCTTGTTCTACACATGTGCGCTCTATCATAACCATCTTGCAAAAAAAAAAAGCATCGACCCTCAAGCTAGACTATATGTTTAATAGGTGTGCCATGCACTGTAATATGTCATTGTGTCAGAGCACAATACGAGGACTAAGTGCACTGAATGCAAATTAATCTTGTGGGATGGCAGCAGCTGAATAGAGTGTGGTTTTGGGGAAAGGAGGGGAGCAAAGGGAGGGACAGAAGGAGGGCTAATAGTGGCGACAGAGAGGAGAGGGAGAGAAAAGGGCATGTGAGGAGGAGGAGGAGGGCTGTGGGATGTAGTCATCGCCAGGCCCATTCATCATGCAATGCCTGCTGGGATGCACCGGGGTCAGTCCCGCACAACACAATTACAGCCTGTTCTGGTGTGTTGTGCTCGCCACCACTGTGTTCCGACTATGTTCCGTTGTCTTTTGTTAGATTCCCTCTGTTCTACCGCTCTTGTTTTCCTCTCTGCTCTGTGGTGTGCGCTCGTGTTCAGTGGCAGATCTCTTCTTTTTGAACTCGCTGCTTGAGCAGTCACTAAATGATCTGCGGCAGGTTCTTTGAGCAAAACATTTCAATTAGCTGAGCATTTGTTGTGTTTTTCTTCGCATCTTTGAGTCTTTTAATCTCTCTCTTTTGTCTTTCGCAATTACTCGCCACAATTCTTATCTTTTTTTTTTTTTGCTCGTGTGGCGTGTAGCCTCTTGCCGGGCTGCCGTATGACATCCGTTGCGCAGCCGACGCCTTTCATCCACATCTGAATCGCAGCCGCGAGCTTGGATCTTGTGATTGACGGGCCTGGTTAGCATGGGGGCGTGAGATTTTAGTGAGCATGTTGTTTACCCTGCCCGCCTGACAGTCCTCTATGGTTCTACAGATGTTTCCAGAAAGCTGTAAATATCCGCGGTGTGCTGAAATGTCAGTTGACAGCGTATCCGATGATAAGGATGTCTGTCTTTCTGTGCCTGGCTATTCTTCACGCCAGGAAACCTTTGAGGTGGTCTGAAGGTCTAAATGAAAACATCATGCAAGGATCCAGCTACATCAGCTATTGAAGATGATCCAGATATGCGTGTTCACATCATAGCACATGGCAGGACTTCATGTCATGGTGGTGGCATCTGTTCCTGTCACTCTGCTGAGAAACAATACATGAGAGACGGCATAGATCGGCCCTTTATCTCGATGGATGATCTGATTTCATCTTGGAGCACCTTGCTGCATATATTTAGATTCAACTATTCGGTGCTTTAAGGAACAAACTTTATACTAAGTCAGCTGTTAGCTTAAAGACCCAGTGGGTATTTTATTTTGGATAATATGCATGATAGATATAATCACTGTTTACACAATTAAAAATAAATTACTATGTGGATGAAAACAAGTATTTGTATGTTTCTCTAAAGAGTGGTATTATATCTTAAAAAGATAGAATACCGTGGCTGCAACTAATTATTTTGATTATTAATGAATCTGATCATCATTTTCTAAATTAATCAATTATTTGTTTGGTTGGTAAAAAAATGTTGCCTAACCCAAAGTTCATATCTTCAACTATTTCCAATCACCAGTTCAAAACCTCCAAATGTATAATTGACTTTCATACGCGACACACATCTCACATTTAGGAAGCTGGAACTATGAACTGTTTGGCAATTCTGCTTGAAAAATTACTTAAATTAACTATCAAAATTGCTGTCGTTATTAGTTGTTAGCAACTAATTGATTTCAATTAATACACAACATGTAATATAGTATACTTTATGATGTTAACAATATGAATCGGATCAGATTGAGTGGCTGTCGAGTGTTTTGTGTGCGCCTTGTTACTTCATGAGTTATAGGCCCCAGCTCTGTGTTCAGATGTTTAATGATGGGCTGCTAGTCTTTGGTTTACTTTTGGATGACAAATTCTGCCTTTAATAAATGACACCATTAGTACAACTGGTTATATTTTGTAATATATCAAGCTGATTATGGGGAAATATTATGCAACTGAAGTTGCTTTTTGTTTATTTATTTTTTATATTATTCTTTCTAAGCCACATATGTAATTTTGATGATGAACCTGCCAAAAACAAATCCTTGAAATGACAAATACTCAAGTGTTCTTCTACGGTTTTAGTCTTGGCATAAACAAGCTGTTTAATAAACAGCATTTGGGCCGTGGGGAGCTGTGGGTTTTTCTCATCTCCGAGCGAAACGATTTCCAGTAGTTGCTGAAGTATTTCTCGTAACGGAACAGAACGCACCCAAAGGGCCCAGAAGTTCACGCGCTCTCGAAGGATGCATTGGGTGGTGGCTTGGCTGACCAGAACGAATAGGAAGCCCAAAGACTGACTGAAAGAATGACAAATCTGCAGAATATGCAACAGTTTTTAAAAGTATGTAGCATCTGGAACCAATCTGAAACAATGGATTGTCTTAAGCAGGCTCCATGTCGAATCGTATGGATGCTTCTCCTTCCTGACTTCCTTGAGTTTCGGCCTCCTGAGACGAACTTGGGAAGGAGTTGGCTGACACGGAGAGATCGACTTGGCATTCTTTGATTTGATATTCATCTTAAAACTCTGCACTGAACCTCGCACGTACTCAAAAACTTTCGGTGGAATGGCAGAATGAGGGTAAAATCATATCCTCCTTCCAGTCACGTCAGCTGTGAAGCCTGGGCTTCATGATATTGGATTCTTACTGAATGATACCACTTAAATACAGTATAAGGGATAAAGTCAATAACAAATGTGTTAATATAATTAAATACAACATGCACAAGTTATTGGCACCATTAAGGCCGACGGTAACTGCTCGGCTCTAATCAACAGATAAGCCAAGTGTCTTTAATTTGAAGTGGCCTTTTTCTATAACCTCTAAACATGGCCGCTTTTGTATAGTCTAGGACGAGTTCTAACAGCATCTCTTGGCGACAGTCCGGGTTGCCAAGAACACCTGCTCAGCACCTCCCCGACCTGCAGACGCAGCGGCTCGTCTGTCGTCGAGTTGTCTTTTGTGTGCCCTAATGAAGCCGGGGAGATGTGACGACATGCCTCGCGTTTCACTCTTCACCTAATTGTGTTGATGTGGAGGCTGATATTAGTGTGCCGGTGGTTAATCTTCCCAGCGAGAGGAAATGGCTGAGCCATCAAGGGATACGACGCAGCTAATTAGACTTGTGTACGCTTCCATGTGTGTGAGGGGAGAGGTGGGGGTGAAGTGAGACGGAGCAAGAAAAGAAAATGGCTTGTTTCTCCTTTTTGTTATGAAAGTTTTTATTTATTGATTGAATGGGCACTGAAAGTTACTTCAAAATCCTGTCTTGCATGCGTGTTAAATCTTTTGAATGTCATGCCGCTTAATGACAGCATCCGCTTTCTGATAAGGGACAACTGGGGGAAACCTTAACATTCATTACAGCCTGACATTTTACCCACTCCACAGAACACCATCATGGAGAATTAAAGTCATCTGAAGTTGCACACAGAGCAAATGGCCTACCGGTACAATAATGCTGTTTTTGGCTTCAGCCTCCCCCGAGAAACGCTGTTAGTAGTTCTGACTGATTAGGGCCTGAAGCCACCGGCTCTCAATAAAACAGAAGACAAAGCTTCAACTCTTGCTGCTGGAAAATCAGGAGCAATGAATTAGCGATAACTGTATTAAAGGCGACACCATTAGACGGTCTGTCGGGGAAGAGGCGGACCCCTTTTCCTTGCAATTTGCAGAGTAGGTAATTTGCAGTCGGAAGGAATACAAGTGAAATGCTGAAGATTTCTTTTTCATTTTCTCTCTGTTGCTCCTCTGCGTCGTTTGCTCTCTCCTTCTGGCTACCAGTGACGGTAGTACTCACCTTATCTCCGCCGCACTGTCCCAATGTGACCTAGAAGTCCTCTTGTGAGGAGCGGTCAACTGTTCTGCCGCTCAGCTCGATATGACCCCATCGCTCTGGGTGGGAGGATCCAATATATTAAGATTATGTTGCGTGCTGTCACGCCCCACTTGGCTTGAGAAGTACTAGGCCAGCAATCATTTTTTTGCAAAGTCATACTGTGATTTATTTATTTATTTATTTTTTCCGCTCCAAAGAGTGCCTGAGGCCTTGTTTGATTTTGTTTTGTATTCCGACCTATTGCCAATGACATCCACACCGCTCATGCCCCATATTGACCATTAGCACACACAGTGCCCTTATCCGTCAGGCTGACAGTGACACTGTTTGCCACATTACCCGTCGCCCAGTCCATCTCTGTTAGTGGAGGGAGCTCAGCCCTGTCACCTGAGGGATAAAGTGTATGGTGGAAACTTGTGTCCTCTGAGGTATGCGGGGCAGATGCAGACCCTCCGTTGGTTCAGCTGTTGTGCCCGTGCCGACAGCGAGGCCACGGCTCGTCTCTGTTGTTGGAGGCGTTGCAGAGCTGGGCCAGATATTTATGGTTTGCTTTGCTGTGAGGTTTTCCATCCATCCATCCATTCCATCCATTTTCCTCCTCTTATCCGGGGTCGGGTCGCGGTGGCATGCCTCTTTAAATGAGAATTTAGAGTCATGGTGGTCCTTTTCGCAGGGGAGACTTTAGTTCCTGTGTGTTGCTTAGAACATCTCATTTCAAGCTCGAGGACTTGTATCTGTGTCTCTTCCACAACAAAGACAACAACATCTTCTTCCCAAACAGTACGCCTTTCACCTCTTTTATGACATATTTTCTCAGACTCTGGTTGGTGGTTGTGGTTTTGAACATGGTGGCTTCAGGTCAGCCCACTTGAACTGCTGGCAGCAGTGTGCCAGTTTATTTCCAGTACTCAAAGCTCTCAAAACAACTGACTCGTTTTTTCTGACCAGAAACTAATAAGCAAAATAGTTTTTTTGTTTTTTTTGCCCACACGCATTGTAATAAAAATCATACTGTACTTAAACAAACTGTGCAACAAGTCCACTTTATAATAAAAAAACAGGATCAAATTGAGAAACTACAAATTATTGGCAATTTTAAATTTATTTATTAAACTGGTATTTCAGGAACTTTTAAGGGCAGTTTTTCTCTGATCCCAAAGAGAGGAAAGGTTAAACTTGTAGTCCCTTTACCTTTTCATTACGGCAAAGCTAATGAGTCGTGTTTCTAGCTGCTGTGCTTTGTCTCAGAGGTCACTTGCTCTCATCGGGTGGTGTGGTACGAGATGACGAGTGCTTCAGACAGAGCGACTGTCTCGGTGACCTCAGCGGGATGTTCACAACCGCCTCTGAACTATCCCTCACCTGCTTCCATTATACTAGCCCGTGACAGTGAGCAAAGTAATGGGAGGTTACACGTTTTTGTCTGTGTGAGATCCGTCTGTGACAGCTGGATAATGCTCCCCTCTCGCTCTCTCAGCCAACACGTCACCTTTCCGCAGCCTCGCCCAATCGCTTGATACGACGGTGACTTCACCCTTTGATAATGGGATCCAACCTTCCTTCCCGTCCCTCTTTGCTCTCATCAGCTGCTTTCTCTAATTAGATGAGGGTGATTTCAATAAAGTTACTGTCGTCCTCACTCCATTAGTTATATTAACACTCGGATTTCTGCCCCGGAGTCGTCGATCTATCCTCAGTCTTTCACCGGGAGGGGGGCAATGCTCTTCTTTTCATGGATCTGTGTAACCTAGTTACTGAGGCCCAGCAGGGGAGGCCAATCAATTAATGAACAAAGGAGCCCGCTCGCTGAGAAGCGGCGCGAGTCTGGGACTATAAACGGGACGCTCCCAAAACATTGTCGCTGTCAGTTCAGTGCTCATCTGATGGATGTTGTTTTGCTTTGTTGTTTTGCGCGCGTCTTATGAGTCCTCTTTCAGAGGAGCGTAAAAGCCGGTGGATGCTGCTGCGGTACCTGTTCAAACACACTACCAGCCAATGTCCAGGTGTCTCTTTAAGGGGAATTAGTAGTGAAAGAACTAAAGGAAGAAGTGAACATGGAACGGGCAGCCTGCCTGTTGTAAAAGACTTTGAAAAGGGCCCGGAGGACCATTTGGACACTGTCACAAGTCCCTTGTCTGATTTTTATATTAAATTATTTCATTTAGCTTTCTTTTGCTTTAAGTGGTCTGTAGTAATACCCTTGCTTCTTCTCCAACCACCTCTTATATCTTTGAGAGGGATTGTGTATAAAGATTGTATAGCCAATGAAAGGAAACAAAAAAACATCAATGTTGCTGGCTTTGGGTGTTAACTCGCCCTTTTATTGTGGAATGTCTGCACAATGAAACTCTTGAACAGTGAAAGAAAAAGATGGATTTCAACATTTTGAATCATTACGTTTCATCGTAATTGAGATGTGAGTAAATGGACTGTGGCATTTTCTGCCACTATGTTGTGAAAAGGCTGGAAATGAAACCTGGAGCAGAGCTAACAAATTAGGTATATGTGCCGTGGTCAAAGGTTAAACGTCCATATTCAGTGATTCTGATCAGTCTCCCATGGCAACAGGCAGATTTGGACGGACAGGCCTCTTCTTTTGTCCACCTGTGCTCTCCCACTATCTTTCACCACTTTCTCATCCTTCCCTTTTCTCACTACCTCTTTTCATCCTATTGAATCCTCATTTTTCCCCCACGTCCCTCAGTTCCGCCCCTCATTCTCTCTTATCTTTTTTTTTTCTTTCTCTCTCTCTCCAGCCTCCCGGTCTCTCTGTCATCCCCTTTTTTTCCTTAATCCGGCTATTCGTCCCTAGTGTTCCCCTCCCTGTAGTTTCCAGCTCCGTCTCCCTGTGTGTGAGATCAGGGTGCAGGCTGTTGTAACAAGCTGTTGAATAATGTAAGCAGCGCAGGGCTATAGGCCAGAGTTTCAGTTAACCCTTTGATCTCTGATCACACAGTGCACATCATAAATGACAGCTCGACAGCAGGGCGAAGCAGCCCGAAGGCCTTTTTTGCTTCCGTCTTCCTCCAACCTCTACCTAAAGGATAAAGTCCCCCCCATCCGGTCCCATTGTCACGACCTTTGTAAGCAGCAACACAGTGAGTGTCCCTATCCTTTTGTTATTCAAACACTGATGTATAATTGAAGGGTTAGAAAAGGCGATGCTGAATAATTGATATTGGAGCAAAGATGTCGTGGCATCCTGAACTTTATCCTACTCTGTATTTTTTACCTGCAGTGCCGATAAAAGATTCACCAGTTTGCTTCCCTTCTGGTCGTCTAGTTCAGCGGGCACTGATTCACCGTGGCACCGAGCCGTCTCCTCTGACAGAGGAGCTATTATCATTATTTCATTCATACTTATTTCACCTGCGCGTACACTGCGAAGTGTCAAAACACAAGGCAGAGGACGGTAGAATAGTCCTATTAAATCCTCAACAACAGTCAAGTTTGCGCGTGTGTTACCAGTTTCTATCAATTAACTGACAGAGTCGTGCAAAAAAAAAAAAAACGTAACCAGCACACAAGGTCTCATTAACCCTTTGTAATCGATACAGATTCCCGTCTCCTTAAGTGCTTCTAGTTAACTTTAGAGCCTCGTATCCTGAGGCTAGGGTGTATTGATCTGCTGGACCGATTGGAAGTTTCCCTTCAGGAGGTGAAGGATAGCGGTGGGACTGGGGATGTTTTTGCAAGAGAGGAGAAGGAGTGGGTCTTCATGGCTGGATCAGCTTACTACTTCCTACCCCCACACACACCTGTTACTGCCAACGGGGGGGAAAACACCCCACCAATCTGTGTGGCTGTGTGTGTGTGTGTGTGTGTGTGTGTGTGTGTGAGAGAGTGTGGAAATGGCTTTGTGTGCTCAGGAGAGCAAATGGCTGAGAGGCGTAGCAAATGAGAAATGTGTTACATAGGGTTTATGGTGACGGCGTGTGGCTGAACCGCATTGACTTTGGCAGCTGTCGGCTGGTTATAGATGGGTGGCGGGAGACAGATTTTAGATTTTATAAGGCTAACGGTCTACATGACAGTCTGCTTTTCAGTTTGGGTGTTTGGACCCATAGCCCCACCGCCGAGCCGCATGTACCCAGCAACACGTGAATGTGCACACGTATACACACCATTGCACTGTCAGGTGTGTGTGTGTGTGTGTGTGTGTGTACAATGCTGAACAGTGATATTTAATCCATAACTCTGACAGGCTTTCCTTGAACTGACGGGGAAAAGCATCGCTCTCTTCCCACATATATACACCTCTCTCTCTCTCTCTCTCTCTCTCTCTCTCTCTCTCTCTCTCTCTCTC